CCGATTCAGCTGCTGGTCAGTTTCAGCAGCAGCTGAATGGGGGAAGCCTGTCCGGCTGCCCCAGCACTTCGGGGTTCCTGATGGTGCCGGACCATCAGGAGTCCCAGAGCATTGGATGCCGGACTAATGGAGTTTTACTGTACATGTTTTGTTAGTCTATAAAGTGCTAACAGACCATTTGTTGTTATATACTAACAGCATTACCTTGTTTTCAATATTGGATGGTTCATCCACCTGAATCGAAAAACTACGGAGATTCATTTATCCTCTCCAGCAATTGCTCCTCAATGTCCTCATCTATTTCGTTGATCCTCCTGGCAACAGTGTTGTCAGAACGAGGAACTTGTCCTACCTTGCAAGCTGCTATTTCCCCAAACAGCTCACAGCAGATATCTTTTACAGCCCAATGAGCTACTAGAAACTAGAGTTGCCAGGTGTCCGGTTTTGAACCGGACAGTCCAGTATTTGAGCTTTCTGTTCAGGAAACAAATTGAGAAAATAGAGAAAATATAAATGTCCGGTATTTTCTAAATAAGATGTAATGTAGATTGTGATGTAATCTCAAGTATGTCCCGTATTTTTGTTGAAACCATCTGGCAACCCTACTAGAAACAATGCCTTCAAAGCAGCTACGTTGGAAAGCGCATATGTGGTATCGCAAAATAATTGTTTTTGTCCTTCAAATTTGTTTTTCAGATACAAAAATTCAACTGTTTTTTTCTATGAGAGTGGGATGTTTAGACTCTAAATGCTGAATTCGCTTTGAAGGTTTCATTGCTTCGTTGGAAAGCGTTTCCGCACATAGAACACATTGCGCTTTTGGAGCCTGTGAATCATCCCATGCAATAAAACCATACTTTAAATATGAGGCATCATACTGATGATTGAATTTTGCTCTTTTTCGTTTTTTCACGTTTTCTTGGCATGGTATAACCTCATTGTAAGAAGAGCCCACAACGTTCCTTGCTATCCTCCGGAACGACATTGTCTTTTTTCGCAGACATGCATCTGACGAAGTGGGTCTTTGCCCACGAAAGCTTATGCTCCTACACTTCAGTTAGTCTATAAGGTGCCACAGGACTCCTCGTCGCTTTTTTCGCAGACGCACCCTTTCCAACAAATCAATGGATGGAAGGTTGCTTGACCAGCTTTTAGACGTTGTAGTGGACAGACATGACTAGACTCTGTTCCCACTGTCCAATGCAAAGAGCGAAGAGCGCAGTTGTTGGCTAAGCCAGGACGTTCCCTGACAGTGTGCCGCAGCCAACGGTCCGAAGACGGCAGTTTCCCCTCTCGCGCCGAGCGAGCGGCCGTTGGAATGTTTGGCGCCAAAAATGAGCCTGCGGGAAGCCAGAACGCATGCGCGCGCCGTAGATTGGAACGCTCGCGAGATTCCGTCCCCGACGGCGGGCCGAGAGCCCGGCTTTTGATGGGAGGGCGGTCGCGAGCCGGGCCGTCTTCTCGCGCTCTTTTCTCGTTCCTCTCTTCTCGGCCGCGCGGGAGGATGTGGCTGGGCTGGGCTTGCCTTCCAGTCGCCGGGACGTGGAGGCGGTGTCCGTGCGAGGCCGGGTCGGCTCTGAGGTACCGCGCGCCTTTCCCTCGCTTCCTCCCCGGCCTCGCGTGGGACGGAGGGAGGCTCTGTAGTGTCCGGGGCAGGGGCCCCCACGGCGGCTCGGTCCCCTCAGGCCCTGCTCTGCCTCACCGCGTGGGGCACTCCCCCCCAGCAGGCGGCCGCGGCGCTCTGGGAGGGGCCTGGCCGGGGGGAGGGGGGCGCTCTGTGCTGGGCACGGGGCTGAATTGCCGCCGGATTCGCCCTAAGCCTCCCGGCCCAGCGTGGTACGGGGCCGCCTCACCAACCCCCCCACTGCCGGGAAGAGGCTGGGGGGCTGTTTCCGTTGGAACTAGCTCTGGGCCCACCAGGAATTGCCAGAGCGGGACGGGCTCGTCTCAAAGAGCCTGAGAGACTCCCCCAATGGCCTGGCAGCTGGAGACGCTTTCATCTCTCACCCCCCCTAATTTGTGTTTAAACCAAGCACATTGGGTTCTGAAAGATCTGGTGGGATTTTTTTTTTTATTTTAGAAAATGGGTTTTTTTCCCCTTCAAAAATGCTCCAGACACAGTCAGTGTTTGTCATGGAAAGTCATAAAATAATGTAGCTAACAATCCAGTATTTTTGTGAAACTGTTCTGATGGGCAGTTTTGGACCAGCTCTCCTGTTTGTCACATCAGCAGCACAGATTCATTATCTGCGGAAGTGTCCCAGTCTTTAATATCTGGGATTAATTGATATCTTGCATTCTCCATTTAACTGACCTGAATTTTAAGCCAAATTTTGCATCGGCCAACAAAATTTGTATCTTTAATAGTTTGTCCTGTTCGCCGCACCACCTTTTTAAACTGTTTTGATGTCTGGTGCTCTTCTGCAGGGGGAACAAGCTTAACTGTGAAGATGATAGATCCACTAGCAAACAACTTGTTTGATCTTCCTGAGTATGAAGAAACAGAAGACGAAACATTTCCACCTCTTCCACCACCTTCCTCTCCAAGAAGAGATGATGTTGAAAGAGCCTTAGCTAGTGAAGGTGAGTATGGGCAGTCCCCGACTTACGAATGGGTTACATTCCGAACACCTGGTCGTAACTCCATTTGGTTGTAAGTTGGAAATACCCTTAAATGCGCTGCCCAAAAAACTTGACGTACATGGTACTCAACTCAAAAATATAATAATGGGGTTAATGGAGGGTTGGTCGTAAGTACGGATGGTCGTAAGTTGGTGTGTTCGTAAGTCAGGGAGTGGATGTATCTTCTAGAGCAGTGTTTCCCGACCAGTGGTACGAGTACCCTTAGGGGTACTCGAGAGACGTCTGGGGGGGTACGTCAACACAACAAATTTGGAGAGAACTGAATTTGTTAAGTTTTTCAGCACTTATTTTTGTACTTTTTACACCTGTGAGGGGGTCACTCACCACCGTAGCAGGGGTCCGTCATCTGTCCCCCGGAATCAGTCCATTCCGCCCGCACAGGCCTCCGCTCACGTGGCGTTTCCCCTCTGGAATCTTCCGGTTGTGTTGCTCTCTTTGCCACACTGCCCTCCGGCAGTGCCCAAGTCACTCGCTCTGAGCTCCCCTTCCGGGGGTTTGGTGTCTCTCCAGCAGGCCTGTCCGCAGGCCGGCCGGTTGGCTGTCAGAGCGCCCTGGCCCAGCCTAACTCTCTAGCCCTGCCCTAGCTCCAGAGAGCGTCCTGCTCCCTCGGCAGCCAGGCTCACACTGCTTTGGCTGAAGCAGCCCTTCCCTTTTATAACCCCCAGCTGGGCCTTAATTGGCCAACGCAGCCCAGCTGGGCTGAACTCCCTGGGCCTGCTCCAGGCTGGGGTTTGGCTCTTAAAGGGCCAGGACAGGGCAGCTTCCCTGTTACAACACCCAAAAAATTCATCACCTGTTCGGCTAAGATTTAAGTTGTTTAAACAAACTTGTTGCATTGGTAGGGAAAAAAAAGTGTGTGTGTCTAAAAACTGTATGTACTGGGTGTACTTGTGATTTTTTTTAAAGGGGTACTTTATAAAAAAAAAGTTGAGAAACACTGTTCTAGAGAACTATCTTTATTGTAACATAGATACTGAAATACTTGGGAGTTGATTGTGGTGTTAGTGTCACATTCTGTTAAATTGGTTTATAAAACAAATTCTAGTTATATAAAATTGATTGGAATCTTTTCTCCTTCTGTAAATTACAATTAGACTTGATTGTTCCTGACACAGCTTGAAGGGGAAGGAAACATATTCTATATTTTGTGTGTTCTTCCATCAAAATACCTGTAAAACAAAAATAGATCTTTCAATATGTGATTTTATTCTGAAAAATATATATTCTTGTAGTATCAATTAAAAGAAATTAATACTACAGTAATCAAACAAAATAGTGTACACCACTTGTTTGAGATTGCAATGTGTGCAAGTATTTTATTGCTGGTAAAATGTGACTTTTTAACAAAATGAAATAGGAGTTGTAACATTCTGCCAAATGAGGGCACTAAACATAAAAAGGTTGTAATAATGATATGATTAAAACCAAATTGCCCAACATAGGGATGTTAAACATGTAATTCGTTAATTGTGTAGTTAGCAAATTTTATCAACTACACAATGGATCAGGAGTAGCGCTGCCACTCAATCCTGGCGCTTACCAGATCCAGCAGCAACCCCCACTGCAGCTCTGCACTATAAGCACTAAGAGCTAGCGGGGGATTGATGCTGGGTTCTGGCACGAGCTAGAACTGAGCCAACCTGCCCACATGCCAGCTCTTAGTGCTGGGGACCCGGCATTTAACCTCCACTGCGGCTCTGCGTTATAAGGACTAAGAGTTGGCATGGGGGTTGATGCCAGGGTCCCAGCATGAGCTGGGTCTGAGCTAGCCAGATTGCTAAAAAGTTACTTGCGCGGGGGAAGGAGGAGGATGTGTTGCATGTAAGTCAATAACATTAATTGATAAGCACCTACCTGTTGGTTAATCGTTTAGTCAAGTACAATGTTACATCCCTAGTCCAACGCGCTAGCCACATGTGGCTAGTTGGCTTGAACAGTGTGGCTAGTTTGCTATAGCAGTAGCCACTGTGCATGGAAGTCTTTGCAGCTTCCTGACTGTTTCTTCCCAGCTGCCTCAGTTCATGCTGCCTCTAAAGTTTGAGGCCACATTAACAGCATATTAGCCCCTGAGGGTTAAACCAAGTGCTAGATCAGGGGTGGCCAACCCGTTCCAGACGAAGAGTCACAATAGCAGTGGAGACAGCATGAAGAGCCGGGGCAAAACTGAGCAAAACCAAAAATGCTGCACTGGGGGAAAATAGATGCTGGTACTCAGTCCCAGGGCATGGCGCTTTTTTTTGTTTTTTGTTTTTTTTTTTGTTTAACATCTTTTCCCCGGGTCTTTGCAGCCCTGCCCCCCTCTCCCCTTTTTTTCTTTTTTCAACAACTTTGCCCCAGCTCTTCATGCTGTCTCCACTGCTATTGTGGCTCAAAAAAAGCACTGGGAAGGGACAAAAGGTGCAAGCACTGGGACAGAATTTTGGTGCAGGAGGATGCTGGCTCGGGGGGGGGGCTCCAGGCTGGAGAGTGTTGGGGTCAGGTGGAGGGTTGGGGTGCTGAGAAAGCCACAGGCTTGTGGCTGTGAGGGTGCAGGAGTTTGGGCTGGGGTGCATGAGGGGCTCAGGGCAGGGAGGCTGGGAGTATGATGGGCTCAAGACACAGATTTGCAGTGTGTGGATGGTGCAGGAGTATTGTGGCAGAAGACTGGAGATGTGGGGGTGCAGGAGTTTGGGGATGTGAGAGGCTCAGGACGGGGTTCCAGTGTATGATAGGCTCAGGTTTGGAGTTGGGGGTTGTGTGCAAGAGTGTTCTGATGCTGCAGCCAGACAGGGGCTTGTTGGCTAGGCTCCATTTTTAAATATGTCAAACACAAAATGTTTCAGTATTGTCTTTATTAATAAGAGGGGCCTTTTTTGAGTCAGGGGTCACTGACCCCCAGAAAAATAATTTGGGACCACACAAGTGAGATGCAAAAAAAAAAACCCTCCAAGACCCCCCAAGCATTATGGGGGGGGGGCCCAAATGAGACACCTCACTCCCCTGGCACTCCATCAGAGTGTACTGAGGGAATTGGCATATGTCATTGTGGAGCCTTTGGCCATATCTTTGAAGACTCGAGATCAGGAGAGATCCCGGATGATTGGAAAAAGGCAGATGTGCCCATCTTTAAAAAAGGGAAGAAGGACAATCCAGGGAACTACAGACCAGTCAGCTTTACCTCAGTCCCTGGAAAAATCATGGAGGGGGATCCTCAGGGGATCCTCAAGGGATCCTTTTGAAGCACTTGGAACAGGGGAAGGGGATCAGGAATAGTCAGCATGGATTCACAAAGGGCAAGTCGTGCCTGACCAATCTGATTAGCTTCTAGGATGAGGTAACTGGCTCTGTGGATATGGGAAAGTCAATGGATGTGATAGACCTTGACTTTAGCAAAGCTTTTGATACGATCTCCGACAATATTCTTGCCAGTAAGTTAAGGGAATATGGATTGGATAAATGTACTGCAAGATGAATAGAAAGCTGGCTAGACTGTCAGGCCCAAAGGGTAGTGATCAACGGGTCAATGTCAGGTTTGGGGGGTTGGTTTCTAGCAGAGTGCCCCAAGGATCTGTTTGTTTTGTTCAACATCTTTATTAATGACCTGGATGAGGGGATGGATTGCATCCTCAGCCAGTTTGACCCCCCCGCCCCGCTCTAACCTAATTCTTGGGTCCCGGAGCTGCCGCTACAGCTGCGTGTCTCCCTCCACGTGCTGGGGTGCGTGCGCTGAGCGGTCAGTGTGCCATGCACACTTCCCCCCCACTCAATCCTCCTCCTCTTCCCCAGAGCCAGACACCTCCCCTACCCGCTCTAACTCAGTCCTCCTCCCCAACTAACCACCCCCCCGCCCCGCTCTAACCTAATTCTTGGGTCCCGGAGCTGCCGCTACAGCTGCGTGTCTCCCTCCACGTGCTGGGGTGCGTGCGCTGAGCGGTCAGTGTGCCATGCACACTTCCCCCCCACTCAATCCTCCTCCTCTTCCCCAGAGCCAGACACCTCCCCTACCCGCTCTAACTCAGTCCTCCTCCCCAACTAACCTTATGCCCAGGTCCCAGAGCCGCTGCCACTGCCTGTGCTCTGCAGCCGGCTGCTAGCACGTGCAGGCTGGGATGCTGTGTGCAATCCGGCCTGCATGTGCAGGATATGACACAGTGTACTGGGGGCTGTGAGCAGACGAGCGCGGACTGTGCGCGCGCATACAGCTCACAATGGCCTGACCGTGAGAGCGGCTGACCTGAGCGGTTCCAGATTCCGTCAGGAGCCGTAATTTTTTTCTTTGCAAGTCGCATGCAGTTCATGAGCCATGGGTTGGCCACCCCTCTGCTAGATCATCATTTAGTAGCAAGATATTCCCTGGGAAATATCCCACTCTCTGACTCCACCACCTCAAGCTTCACGGTCATCATTGTTATATATAGTGTTACATTGTTTAAAACTTATATTTCATTGCTTTGTTGGTTATTCTACTATAACCCTCTAAAACAGTGTTTCCCAATTTTATTTGGCCACGGAACCCTTTTAAACTCGAAAGAATTTTGTGGAACCCCTAATAAGTCTAATATATGGAACTGAAAAAATAGATCAAAATTAAGTAATTATAATAATAAACAAATGCTAAACAAGGTCATGAGATCAACATTAAGTTTAATTGAACATTTAAAAACAAAAAAATCACGTAATATTAATTATTATTTTTTAAATAATAAAATGTTATTGTAATGGAATTTTCTCGTGAAACCTTTATTTTCACCATTTTGGAAACACTGCTTTAAAATGTAGGTGGCATCGCCATTACTTATTCAGCTATGATTATGCCTAAGATGCCCAAAAGGGTTGATACTGCCATTCAAAATTTGTTACAGGTCTGAAAACAAACACAAAAATCCAAAAAAATTCCCACTGTTTTAGGATATTTGATAGTTTTGCGTCCCTAAATAGGTATCAGCTTCACATGGCTTTACCCTGTGAGCACTTAATTTAACCAACTTTATACAGAGTTAAAGAAAATAGGATTTTGCATGTGTGTAAATCTTTGCATAATCAGGCCATAGTCTCGTTGCCATTATTTTGTTGTACTCTCCTTTTCTCCCCTCCCTCTTCCCCCATACCTTGAAGGGCTCCCAAAACCATAGTTATAAATTAACAGCAAAAATCAAGGCTGTAAAAGCATACTCAATGTATTCTTGGTTACACTAAATAACAAAATAAGGTACACATTTGTAGAAGCAGAGATTTTCATTAAGATGGGAAATAGTCATATTATTTGCCAGAAAAGATTGTTCTTTCAAGATAACAGATCCTTTCTCTGCTTAAACACTTAGGGCACATCTAAACAGCACTTAGGGCACATCAGAGGTATCCGAAATAGCTACCCCGGGTCTTTTAAATCTGCCTGTTGTTTTGATATTTTTTCGAAATAACAGGCATGCGGATGTCTCAAAATAGTGGCTATTTTGAAATTTGGCGCTGTGTAGATGCACCAAATTTCAAAATACAATTGAATAAGATACGCAATTTGCACTATGCAAATTGTGTATCTTCTTTCGAGTTTAGGGTGCTGTGTAGATGCACCCTTAGGGTATGCCTAGGCTACACAGCTTTTAGCAACAAGACTGTGTCAATATAGCCCTGTCACTGAAAGTCAGTGTGTGTGAACACAGTTTGTCTTCACTTTTGTTGACAAAGTAGTACCATCCCCAAAGAGGGAGTTTTGCTTTATTGGCAGCAAAGGGCTCCTGCCAACAAAACAGAGTTCACATGTACATGTGCTGTGGCAAAATGTCATTCATGGAGGAGGGGATTTGATCACCCATGAATGACAAAAGTTTTGTTTATCATGTGCTTTTGTAGACATAGCCTTTCTTATAAAAGTGAATTTGGGGGAAGGGAGGCAGAGAGAACATACAGGCATCAGTTATTCACAATAACATGCACAGTATGTGCATTATAAACATTCAGTGGAAAACTGGCAACTGGTAGAACCAGTGACATATTAATAGAAGATAAAGATGTTAAACACTAATTTGAGTTGATAGTTGGTATCACTTGCATTATAGATTTATAGTATGTTATTTGCTGTTTATCAGAGCCAGATGGAAATAAATCATCCCAAACGAAGGATTCTGCTGTGTCTACACAGAAAACAACTAAAAGGCCGATACCTAAATTAGATGCTCAAAGGTATTTGTTGCAGAATATTTCTATGTACTAGTGATGATTTCAGTGTTCAAATAACAAGAATCTTTATGTGGTTGCCTGTCATAAATTGATTTAAGGTGTTCCACATTACCCACTTGGTCATTACCAAGTTCTAGGTTGTGGATATAGGATATACTTCGCTCATTGCAGAATGGACATGAGGCTTTTGGTCTTTACTTTTATAGCGCTGTTATCGTATGTAAGTCATACACTCACAATAAAATACTGGGGAAACAGAAAACTATTTCCCAAGAAAGTGCCATGGATTTCTGTGATGCTGGAAATGAGAGTTTTTCCAATTCTTCAGATTTTTATTTTTTTGTTCTTTAAATTGGAAAATCCTTTAAAATGAGTCTTTAGACTTATGATCTTTTCAGGATGTTAGCCAGTTTTGTGAAGTGCATTGAGTCTGATTTTAAACTATACAAAAGTGCTCTTGAGATTATATTTGTAAGAATAAAGCAGAATTGTTAGGGAGTAGAAAGTCACTTTCTTCTACAAGCAAAACTTTTTAAATGGTAAAACAAATAGGGCTGAATCCCTATATTATTAAAATGTGTCTTAAGTATACTGAATGTTTGGGGATATCATATTTTGGTGTCTTGGAAGCATTCATTTATAACCTTTTGGTTATTAGGATACTAGAATTGGTTTTCCCCTCTGTTCCACATAGACTGTAAGTTAGGGCTGAGACTGCTTCTTACTATGTGTTTGTATTAGGCAATGTACAGAATGGTCCTCATCCTGATTGAGATCTTTGTGTGCTATCATGTTACTAATAATAAAAAAATCACAAACCGTGTTAGAATTTCTAATTGAATAACTTAAATTGAAAACCACATTAATTCAGGACACTTTTTTCATATTCACAGGTTAATTTCAGAGAGAGGACTTCCAGCCTTGCGACATGTATTTGATAATGCAAAATTTAAGGGTAAAGGACATGAGGTAAGAAATATGAGCAATTCTTCTTGTTGATTAGTAATACAGTTTGGATGAAATGTTTACTTTTTTACTTCACTCCTCCCAATTAAAAGCTCCAGAACTAAATCAAACATTACCTTCTAAAATGTATAGACTCTATGCTAGACTAAAACAGGGTCAGCTAGTGCTATTTCAAATGCATCTTGGGTGGGGGGCTTTTTCAGTCATACTAAGCTACATCAATTGAGAAAATATGATAATAAAAAATGAACCTGACCTCAAACCATTTCTAGTTAATTTCCCAACACTGGAACCATTCTGCTGGAACTCTTAATGTGTGATTGTTTACAGAATGATTTTATTTAAACTTTGGGTGGATAATAAGGCTGCTTATTCTGCAACTGTTGTTTCATTGACATAACTGGCCAAGTTTCTGGAAGAAAACATCAATCACAAGCCTGCTTTTAAAAGACTCTTCTTCCCCTCTCTGTCTGTGGTGATTTATATTTATTCAGTGTCAAAATCCTCTCTCAACTTAAGAGCAGGATATCTTAAGAGCAGGATATTTTTCCACTAGCCTAGTGTCCTACCATTGTTTCTTCCTGACTGGACAAATGTGTCGTAACTTGAAGCCTATTTTGTGAACATATCAGCCTTGGGAAGTGCCTCTTCCCGTTATGCGGTACATTTGAAATAGTAGTACTAGTTATGACCATTCAGTAGTCTCGATTATCCGACCTAAATGGGACCAGAGGATGGTCAGACAACAGAAATGTCGAATAATATGGACACTGCTGGCACGGGGCGGGAGCCCGGCATGCTCTGGCCAAGGGGCGGGGGCCCAGCACACTCTGTCCGAGGGGCGGGAGCAGAGTGGCAGGGGGCGGGGGGGGGGGGG